CAGTATTATCCATAGTTTGTCATAATCCACACAGTTGAAAGCCTTTGCATAGTTAATAAAGCATAAATACACATATTTCTGGTATTCTCTGCTTTCAGCCAAGATTCACCTGACATCAGCAATGTTATATCCCTAGTTCCATGTCCTCTTCCGAATCTGACTTGAGTTTCTGGCAGGTTCCCCGTCAATGTACATTGCAGCCATTTTTTGAATTATCTTCAGCAAAATTTTACTTACATGTGATAATAATTTTGAAATGGGCACAATCAGGTGTCAAGGTAGCTGTCTTCCAAATTTCTTCGTATATATGGTATATATGTCTTCCAAATTTCTTGGTATATATGAGAGAGTGCCTCCAGTGTTACGTTAGTTTGTTGAAAGATTTCAATTTGTATTCTGTGAATTCCTGGATCCTTGTTCTTAATGCTAGTGTCCTCAGTTCAACCTTTTGAAATGGTTGAACATCAATCATTTCACTTGGGTACAGTGACTCTGTATTCTTTTGATGCTTTCTATATCATTCAGTATTTTGCCCTTAAAATCCTTTAATATTATAAGTTGAGGCTTGTTTTTTTTCTTCAAAATTTTGCAGCTTGAGTAATGCTGAGCATGTTCTTCCCTTTTGGTTTTCTAGCTCCAGGACTTTGCACATTTCATTCTAATACTTGACTTTGTCTTCTCAAGCTGCCCTTTTGAAACTTCTGTTCAGCTTCTTTACCCCCTCTTTTCTTCCATTTGCTTTAGCATCTTTTCACTGTACAGAATGCTTCAGAGTCTCTTCTGACTTCCCTTTTGTTCTTTTCTTTCTTGTGTAATTAATGACCTTTTGCTTTCTTCTTGTATGATGTTCTTGATGTCATTCCACAACTCTTCTGGTCTTTGGTCATTAATGTCTAATGCATCAAATCGATTCTTGAGGTGATCTCTAAAGTTCAAGGTCATATTTTGGCTCTCGTGGACTTGTTTTAATTTTTTTCAACGTCAGCCTGAACTTGCATGTAAGCAGTTGATGGTATGTTCCACAGTCTGCCCCTGGCTTTGTTTTGGCTGATGATACTGAGCTTTTCCACTGTCTTCCCACAGATACATAGTCAGTTTGATTTCTGTGTATTCCATCTGGTGAGGACCATGTGACAGTTAGTTGTCTTTTATGTTGTTTAGAAAAGGTATTTGCAATGAATAAGTCATTGGTTGTGCAAAATTCTATCATGTAACCTCTAACATCATTTCTATCACCAAGGCTATATTTCCAATGTCTGATCCTTCCTCTTTGTTTCCAACCTTCACCTTCTATTATCAGTAATTATCAATATATCTTGATTGCACGTTTGGTTCGCGCTGAAGAAGTTGCTTGTTATTAAGTGTGATAGAGTCGGCGCCAACTCATAGCGACCTTTTATAGGATTTCTGTGGCAGCTGGTGGGTTTTGAACTGCCAACCTTGTGGTTTGAAGTCCAGTGCTGATTCTGCAGCGCCACACCAGGAGTTTGTTTTTTCATCATTGCTGACTTCAGAGTAAATTTGATTACTAGTCGTATAAACTGGTCATCCTTGTAGGCGTATGGATATTATCCCATCTCAAATGGCATTTGTATCTCAAGATAGATCTGGAAATGTTCTTTTTGATGATGAATGTGATGCCATTCCTCTGTTGTTCCTTGCATTAGTAAACCATGTAATTGTCAGATTCATAATGGCCAATATTAGTCCGTTTCAGCTCACTAATGCATAGAATATCTATTTTTATGCATTCTATTTTCATTTTTGACAACTTCCAGTGTTTCTGGAGTCATACTTTGTACAGTCCATATTCTGATTACAACGGTTTCTTCCCATTTTGAGGCTTTCTGCTCCCACAAAGATTTAAAAAGCCTAGGAAACTCTATACAGGGTCGCTATGTGTCAGGAGTCAGGACCGACTCGACGACACTTTGTAACACCATTTACCTGCAGCTGAATATATATATATACACACACACAAGGGGGCTTCAGAAAGTTAGCTGACAAATTCTACTTTCTTTTAACTCCTTTATTCCATGAGCTTTTTGAAGCCCCCTCTTAAATACAAAAGAACCCTGGAGGTGCGTGCAGTGGATACGAGTTTGGGCTGCTAACCACAATTTGTCGGTAACTTAAACTATCTGGCCACTCCATGGAAGAAACGTGAGAGTATTTACCACCAGAAAGACTTACACTCTTGGAAACCCTAGGGAGCAGTTCTGTTCTGTCCTAAAAGACCACTATGAGTTAGAAATCAACTTGTTGGCAGTGGGTGGGTCTTAGATAGAGTATGGTTGGTTACGGGGTCAGCCGAATGCTTCAGTTATCTGTGTCTTTCTATTTATGCTTAATTACTGCCTGTACCATTTAGAATGAACAAGGTTCAAATTCACTCAGTGCTTTTCTTTGTAGTATCTGTGTACTGGCTGATATAATTAGACTTCAAGCTTGAGCCATAAAAACCCAGGTCTGATAGACAATAAAGAGCAGATTATCAACATCGATAGTGGGGCACAAGTGGCACTTGAACAGGATGATGCCGTTTCTTTTGTTGGGGGATGGGATTGCAAGAATGATTGATTTTCATGTACAATTCCACAGCCAGGGATTGCTCTGTTACCATCCGTAGCCACAGTACTGATAAAATGATACTAAGATGTTGTTTTTCCAGCTAAAATCTGTAGCTGCACGGAGTTACTTTCAAACCAGCAAGTCAGCATCAGGCTCTTTAGACTAAATAGAGTGGTGATGGGTGTTAGAGTGGTGATGGGTGTTAGAGTGGTGATGGGTGTTATCTGAAAATTATATTGAATCTGTGGTCTACATGGTTATTATTACCAAATTGTTTTTCCCCCACAGTGCCTTGTGTTGAAGGAGGTGATTTTGTCATAATGCCAGTTGATGAATACTGGCTGTGCTTACCAGCATCTTCTGCTAGCCCCTTTGTCCAGACTGTCAGGGTGATGCCGTCTTGTCCCCATTGGGGCTGGTTTCCAGGGGTCCTCCCTTCAGTTCCTGCACCACCTTGCATACCCACCATGCTGCCAAGGGGCAGCCACAGTGAACGGTTTCCTCCTCCACCTTCTACCACACCCCTTTCTACATCCCAAGCACCCGCTCCTGCTGCTGACCCCCAGCTCTGTCTTTCACCCAGTCCAGCTGATTGTAGACAGCAGAGAAATGTGCTGTCAGGGCTGGTAAGTTTGGGGCCTGTTTTGGTTTCTAAAGTTAAGATTTGATTTTTTAAAAGATTTTATTAGCACAGGTTATTGTTTCGTTAAAAAGTAATATTAAATATATCACCAAAACAGTGTTCCCAGTCCATATAAAATGTAACTAGTATGCGTAGAAAAGAGTCCTGGTGTGGCGCTGTAGGATAAGCATTGGACTGCTAACCACAAGGTCAGTGGTTCAAATCCACCAGCTGCTCCTTGGAAGCCCAATAACAGGGTCTCTGTCAGAACCGACTCAAGGCACATAACAAAAACAACAGTGTATAGAACCTGGTGGAATGAAATGTTCACTTGCTTCTTCCTTCCTTCCTTCCTTCCTGTCTTTGTCTCTCTCTCACTCAGCTGGGTTGCCGTATCTGATTTTTGTTCCCCCTTCATCCAAGAATACTTTTTTAAAAATTAAGAACCTAGCCACTAATTTCTGAAACCTATTATGTGCCAAATATGTGGAAATGAAATGCTAACGAGAATGTAGGAGACTTCATGCGTGTGCAGAATACAGCAATGAGCTCTACCGTCATGTTTATTTCAAATACCTTGCAAAAGCTGCAACATTTACATTGAACTCTTCATGCTAATCAATGTCAGTTAATAATTTTGTTGAGAAATTCTAGATTTTATGTCTCAGCTTAACCGGGTAGAAAGATCTTAAATAGTTGTCTGATTTGTTTAAATTGCTGTATTGAGTTTATTAGCTGGACTCACGTTTCCCAGGCCTCTCTTTTACTGTGCAGTCTTTATCCACTTATTATTCTGCCTCTGACTAGAAAAGTAAAGATGACTGATAGATTATATCAGTGGTTCCATGAAAAAGTAGAATATGTGTTGCAGTGTTTTTAAAGGTAATTTAACATCAGGTATAAAATTTTATGAGAAGAGTACTGAGGATGAGACTTCGTTTAGGCCTGATTGAATTTTATTGCACTGTCAGGACCTTACCTGTGTAGTATTAGATGCACATTTCAGAGTAGTTCGCAGTTGTGTGAAAAGACATTGGCACACAGGGCCCAGTGTGTCATGTTATTGTGCCATCGAGTCGGTTCTGACTCATAGCAACCCCCCGCACAACAGAAGGAAACACTGCCCAATCCTATGCCGTCCGCACAGTTGTTATGGTTAAGCCCATTGTTGGGGGTCAGAAAGCACCAATCAAAGGAAGGTTGGGTGTTTACATTTTGTGATGTAGTTGAAAGCACACGTGTTTTCCTTTGAAAATTCCTTTTGTTTTATTTCCGAGAAAGATTTCCTTATAGAGCTTTTTGCTTAATTTCTTGTGGTGAAATATATATAACAAAAATGTTGTCATTTTAACCATTCTGAGTCCTGGTGTGGCACTGTGTGTTAATGCACCAGACTGCAAAGCTGTTTGAACTGCAAGGTCGGCAGTTCAAGCTCACCACCTGCTCCTCAGAAACCCTATACAGGGCCACTATAGGTCAGAACCGACTTGATGACACTTCACAACAAAGTGCATAATTCAGTGACATGAATTACATTCTCCAAAAGCCCAGCAGAAACTCAGTACCTTTAAATAAGAAAACGTTTTTCCCTTATTCTTCTCCCTAGACTCGGATAGCCACCAGTACACTTTGGTCTCTGCATTTCCTAGTTTTAGTTGTTTCATATAAGTGTGATGGTATAATGATGGTCCTTTTGTGTCTTATTTGACTTAGCATAATGCTTTCAGGGTCCATCGTTGTAGTCGCATGTATCAAGACATTACTGCTATTCAGTTCAGTTACTTTTCCTTCTGTTGTCTTTCTGTAGGCTTTTCAGGACGGCAGACTTCAAGCATTACTTACAATGAACGGCTCTGAGGATCTTCCTGAGTCCTATGACTTTGACCTTATCATCATTGGCGGTGGCTCAGGAGGACTGGCAGCTGCTAAGGCAAGGCGACTTGTGTGCTGTGTTTATCTGGATTTTGGTTCTTCATCTCTATGTTGTTGTTAGCGCCAACAGGTTGCTAAGTGCTATGAGGTTGCAACTCATAGCAATCCTGTATAGGGTTTCCGAGGCTATAAATCTTTGTGGAGAGCAGAAGGTCTCAACTTTCTTCTAAGTGGAGCAGCTGATGGCCTCAAACGCCAACCTTGTGGTTTGCTTATCCTACACTTGGTTTAATCCACAGGTGTGGCATTCTGCATATTAACTTGCCAGGAAATGTAAAAGGACCACTTTATAAGCCATTTTTCCAAATGGAGACTTGGTATGTTCTTTATAGAAGTACCAGACCCAATGTTTTGGAACATTTCTATTCATTTTAAATGTGGTTGGTTTTTCAAGGATAGTAGGGGTGTTGTAGGGATATCTTGGCTGGAATGGAAATCAGATATGTTTCTTACTCTTTAAATTCCCTCCCTCCCCCCATGTTGACCATTTCACTATTCACAACTCACTCTAACCCAATGGAAATATGGAGTGAAGTTGGATTTGTAAAAATTATTTGTTAAAATCATCCTGCTTCCTGAGTGTTTGAGGTGTTCTAAGAGAGTAACCACTGGCTCAGTGACCTGGGGATGATGGGAAATAGGACACAAAAAAGTAAGGGAGGTTACATGGGAAGCAGGACCCCTGATAGTACAGTGGTTAAGTGCTTGGCTGCTAACTGAAAGGTCAGTGGTTCAAACCCACCAGCCATTCTGTAAGAGAAAGATGTGGCAGTCTGCTTCCATAAAGATAACAGCACTGCAAACCATATGGGGCAGTTTTACTGTGTCCTCGTCCCGCCATTGTGAGTTAGAATGGACTTGATAGCAGTGGGTTGACAGGTGAAACTCTCCATTCTGAAGCTGACAGACACTTTCTGTTCAAGGTCTTTGGCCTTGTCACCCTTACCCAACTTTAAAAAACGATGAAGTGGATACACTACCCTAAGGTGTAGCTTGTGGGTGAATCGTTGAAGGCCCTTTTGAATGAAACTGCCTAAATTAGGAACAGTCCAGACCAGAAGTAACTGCCAGCAAGAAGAACATTTGTCTAGCATCAAACAGTGCTCTGCCAAAAGTGGCTCAGAATCACGCATGATAGACTTTACTGTTGTAAGGGGCCCTTGAGTCTGTTCCAACTCATAGAGACATTATGCACAACAGAAAGAAACTTGCCTGGTCCTGAGCTAGCCTCACTATCTCTGGTAATTTTGGGCCATTGCTGCTGCCCCTTTGCCAGTCCATCTTGTTGGGGGTCTTCCTCTATTATTCATTTTCCAACTTTTACTTGCATTTGAAGTGGTTCAAAATACCATGGCTTAGGTCAAGTGCACCTTAGTCCTTGACCTGACATCTTTTTCTTGAATACTTTAAAGAGGTCTTGTGCAGCAGATTTGCCTTATGCAATATATCATTTGATTATTTGACTGCTGCGTCTATGAATGTTGATTGTGGATCTGAGCAAAATGATATTTTTGATAACTTTAATCTTTTCTCCGTTTATCATGATGTTATTTATTGGTCTAGTTGTGAGGACTGTTATTTTCTTTACATGAAGGTGAAACTCATATTGAGGACTGTGGTCTTTGACTTTACAATACTAATGGTGTTTTTGAAGAACACTTAGACTTGGTCCTTTCAAATAACCCTTGGAGGGTCTAGTTACCAATATGCAAAGCTTATTCTCTAAGAAAAAAAGATACTCTACAAAATGAACTTCTGACAATTGTCTTCACTCCCCTAAAAAAGATATGAAAACTTTAGATGTCATCAGCTTTTTCATGGGCTCCTCACCTGAAAATGTTAGGAACCCTCATAATTTTAGAAGAAAAGCTCTTTCCAGATTCTGCTTGTAAAGTGAATTGGTCAAAGTCAAAAGTATTTAAAATATATATAGTATCTATGGATATAATCTGATTTAAGGTCTCTAGCCTTTTGGCAGGTCTGATTTACCTACCACTCACCACCTGCTCGAAAAATGTCAACATTTTTTACTCATTATTGTTTAATCTGTTACTATTTGATTACAACAACATTAAAAGATTCTAGAATGTCAGATTCTAGAAATTCTGACAATTTTACAATAGTAGATTTGTATATTTACTGTTGAATCTGTATATTGCCTAAAGGTGCCTTCGTGACTGAATCTCTCTTAATTTTTATCCTGGATTTGCACTGATAACCTTAGCATATGAAATTCCTAGATGTTATAAACGGTTAGGGAGTGTGGTGACTCTGTAGGATAAGTATTAGACTGCTAACCATAAGATCAGTTTGAGTCCATCAGCTGTTCCACAGGAGAAAGATAAGGCTTTCTGCTCCTGTAACGATTTATAACCTTGGGCACCCACCCTACACAGGGTTGCTATGAGTCAGAACTGACTTGATGGCACTTGACAACAAGTAATAACTGATCATGTTTTAGGCATAATAACTTAATAAAATAACATGGATTTTTAAAAACAGCCCATTTCTGATCATCCTGTTAGCCTTTCTAACACACTTTAACATATATAATCTTATTTTCCAGGAGGCAGCCAAGTATGACAAGAAAGTGATGGTCTTGGATTTTGTCACGCCAACTCCTCTTGGAACTAGATGGGGTAAACTTTTTAAATATTTCAGAAGTGCATTACAAGAAACCAGGGTTTTCCATGCCACTGATTTAAATGACTCCTAAAACCCAATTAAAAATTTAAAAACTAAACCTAAGTTGTATACGTCTTTCAATTGAACTGAGTTAAAATAGGCTCAAATTTTAAAATGCTAAAAATTCCAATCCCTTGGTACAGAATGAATATAGTAAAAAACTTATCTACAAGCTTTTTGCATCTATATAAAGCTAAATATTTTTGTAACCTAGTATACTTAGTAAGTCCTGGTGTGGGACTACAGGATAAGCACTTGACTATTCACAGCTCGATGGTTCAAATCCACCAGTGGCTCCTTGGAAACCCTATACAGGGTTGCTGTGAGTCAGAACTGACTAAGTGGTACTTAATGACTTAACAAGTATACTAAAGGGCTAAATAATTGAAAGTTTAAACTTTTTATCTCTGGATGCATTATTGATGCATATACCAAGTACCCTGAAAGCACAGTGGTAAATCTAATGTAAGAGGTGACTAGGGATGGTTTCTCAGATGGGTTGTGCTGATCACAGTCAACAGAGGGGAGAGGCAACCAAGGTTCCTATTTAAAGAATAGCAAGTCTCATCCTACACTCTTACCCTTGTCAGTTTGCCCCTCCCCCCAACTGCCAGCATTTTATTCTTATGGAAGCAGTCTTTCCCTATGTTCTCTACATCCAGGGATACTGAAGTTTTTTGGGTAATAAATCCCTTTGAGAATCAAGAGAAAGCTATCAACCCTCTCCTTAGAAAAATGAACATATGCATTAAATATATATGGACTTTCAGACAAACTATCGCCCAACCCTGCACAAGCTAGCAGTTCTGTGTGCATAGATCCAGTAGTTAACATAGCAGTTCTGTGTGCATAGATCCAGGGCTGTGCATATAAAACAGTTTGAATTTCTGGCCTCTTTATGAGCAATCTGACATCTTTATCAACGACCTTTGTATTATATAAAAATGGTGGAAATCTACCCCCATCTTTGTTTTGTTTTAGGATGATGTCACTGTATTTTGGATATATGCTTCTTTGAACTCAAAGATGTTGGAAGCCATAGGAATAGGCTTATATAAATTAAGAGTCACATTAAGCAAATAAATTACATTTTTAGAATTATAATAATTGTTGACCTTTATCTTTGAAAGATTGTAAAGTATGCTATAAATTTATTTCTCAATGCTGTTTTAGGTCTTGGAGGAACATGTGTGAATGTGGGTTGCATACCTAAAAAACTAATGCACCAAGCAGCTTTGTTAGGACAAGCCCTACAAGACTCTCGTAACTACGGATGGAAAGTTGAGGATACAGGTACGCCCTTTCCATAAAGAAAACCAGAATTCCTTTAAGTAAAATGTTCTCGGTTATATAGTGTATTATAAGGAAATATAAATTACACTTGGATTCTTTTGAAGCTGTTACATTTCTCTTTCTCTGAAGTCTGCTTCATGAGCTGATTTTTCTTTTCTTATTTTTTCATGGAAGGAGGAGATTGTTTGCTTGTGAGGAATTTAGTCTTTGTTGGACTAAAAATGTTTAGCACAGTAACCCTAGAAAATTAAAGAGGGGATTGTTGACTTGTAAACTAACTTACATTATCTGGCAGAAGAGTGAAAGAAGACCTACCCCACTTTCTGACTGATTAATCGTGGGCCTCACTCTGCCCTTGAGAATGAAACTCAAGCTCCTAACTGATCTCCGTTTGGGACATTGGAGGGAGTAACCATCCAGCCAGATAGCTAGGGCAGACAGTTTTGTGGCTTTTTCTGAGTTTGAATGAATAGTTTATCAAATATTAAAAAAACAAGGCAAAGATACTTGGCTTTGAAAAATTGTGCCTCTCTTCAAACTAGTCGTAGTTCCTTTTCTGATGCTTTTACTTCTCACTAAGATCAAAAGTACTCTCTTCTAGACTGGAGTCTTAGAAGATTCCGTCCTTAACAATTTTTAACTGTTGGCCCAGACCCTTACAAGGCTGTTTGTTCCCCTGACCCCTAGAGGACAGGAGCTAGGGCTGAGCTCTTCACTCTTGGTTCTGAGGTGCCTTTTCTGTGACCTTTTCTATTTCCCAGTGGGAAGGGTAGTTGAAACTCTTGACCTGCACAGCATGGATTATGAATTTTAAGCAAATCTTTTAACCTGTGGAACATGAATCTTAACATCCGAGGGAGTTGGTTTAGAAAGTTCATGGGAAATGAAGTTAAAAGACTATGTAATCTTCCATAAACTTTTTGAAGCCCCCTTGTATAACCTGCTGGTAGTTCATTGCTACCCTCCCACTGCCCTTAGTTACCTCCTTGGAGGGTCTGAATGCCCATCATCTAGTCTGTCATTGGTGCTGTTTCTTACCCTTTTGGAAGACTACTGTTAATACACCCAGTTAGCCACAGGCCCTCCCTTCAATTAATTCATTAGACTTTTTAGGAGACATTTTAGAAATCCTACTGATGATGTTGGAGTCCTTATGTGATGCTATGGGATAATCACTGGACTTCTAACTGCAAGGTTGGCAGTTCAAACCCACCAGCCACTCCTTGGAAGCCCTATACAAGGTAGCTATAAGTCTGTGAGTCGGAACTGACTCAACAGCACTTAACGACAGCAACAATTGATGATGTTACGTAATGTGAATATTGAGCCTTTACTGTTTACACTGGCATTCTGGTGACCCTGTCAAGGATAAGCACTGGACTGCTGTGAAAAGTTGGCAGTTCAAACCCACCAGCCACTCCTTAGAAATGCTTTATAGGGATGCTATACTTGGGAACTAACTTGATGACACTAACAATAGCTGTTTGTACTTGACTGTGCTAGAGAAACACAGGTAAATAATACACATCCTGTAGGTACACTGGTTCCACTGTTACCATTGATACATCATTGATGTGCACACCAAGGTACCTTGAAAACACAGTGGTGGACTTGGGATGGCAGTGTCCATGCTAATCAGCAGAGGGAGAGGACAACCAAGGTTGTTGTTTGAATAGCAAGTACGCGGGTATGGTTGGAGTCTGGCGTATGTAGGAAGCATGTATGAGGAAAGCGTGGGAGGACTGTGCTGCGGGCAGGAATAACTGGGTGGTTTGGTACAAGAACACCCTAGGTGGTTTGGGTGGAATGCATATCAGCTTAGCCATCTGCACAGTTTTTCAGAGAACAAGTTGGAACAGTTGCTTGCAGATACCTTCTTTAATGGTTCTTGGAATTGTAGCAGAAGAGAATGGGGAGAGAATGTGAAGATCTTGCACAAAAGAGGAGACACCATCATCTTTCTCTCAGCATGCATTCCAAACTTCTTCTAGCCTTATATGTAATCATTGAGGTCCTAAATGTCGTGGTTATGCTCCCCTTTTCTCATCACCATCCCCATCCCAATACATATTTAGTCTGACCATCCTGACAACATTCTGCTGTTTCCATAGATGAGGAAGTGAAAGCTCTAGGAGGGGATTTTTTGTTGTTGTTTTCCCGTGATATCATAGGTTAGAAATTGGCAGAACCAGGATTTGAACTTTGGAGTCTTTATGACTTCAAAGCACATGTTGTTTGCACCCCACTAAATTATCTTCTTGAAATCATTTTGGTGTCAGTGACAACTGGTCTGCAGGGCTAGAACTTCAGAAGCTGTCCTGGGGGCAGCTGCATTGAGAGCTCTTTCAACTCTGCAGTTTGTGCTTTGTCTCACCCTGCTTTTCAAAACAGGGCCAGCTCTTTCTGCTCTGTAGGCCATACCCCAGTTTCTCTACTTGCTTTGGGGAGGAAAACTTAAGAACTATCTATTTTGTTTTTCACCCATTCCATTGGATCTTTGATAGTCACACCCCCCTCACCCCATACCCCTTTCCAAGTTATTCCAAACATAGTCTTTACCATTATTCTCAATACGACCTTTTCTTCCCCCACTCTAGCAAGTACTCTGACCCACTAAAGCAGGAGTCGGAACCTTTTTTCTGCCAAAATTTATAACATCATTCACAGGCCATACAAAATTATCAACTTAAAATTTTGTACTGTATTTGGTCAAACATTTAATTAACTCACCCTTAATGTGATGGCTGGACTACTGGTGTGACTCCGTAGGATCAGCACTGGACTAACCACAAGGTCAGTGGTTCAAACTCACCAGCTGCTCCTTGGAAACCCTATACAGGAACACTGTGTTAAAATGACACGGCACTTAACAGCAATGTGATGGCTTGAACTGTGGTTGCCTTGGCAGGGCCAGACCGAATGATTTCACAGGCCTTCTACGGAGTCCTGGTGTGGCGATTTAGGATAATGCGCTAGACTGCAAGATCAGTTTGAATTGCAAGATTGGTGGTTCATACCCAGCAGCTGTTCCTTGGAAACCCTATACAAGGACCAAGTTGGTCTGAACCAACTTGATTACTTAATAACAACAAATACTGACATCATTATTGTTGTTGAGTGCAGTTGAGTTGGTTCTAACTCCTAGCGAACCTGATAGGGTTTCCGAGGAACGATTGCTGAGTTTGAACTGCCAACATTGCATTTAGCAATCTAGTGCTTATCCTGCATGTGCCACACTAGGATTCCTTGGTGGTGGTGGTGGTGGTGGTGTGCTGTTGAATAGATTCCTACTCATAACGGTCCCCTTATGGGTTATCTGAGGCTGTAAGTCTTAACAGGATCAGTAACAAGCTCCTTAGGAAGTTGTATGTTTGAACCAACTTATTCTCTTAAGGAGAATAACACGTAATAAGAACATTAATAAATTTTGATTTGCACAACTTTCAAACTTCCAGTCTTTTCCCCAGTGTCACTGGCATTTAAATTAGGTAATTAATTAACTGTGCTAGAGAGCTACAACTGAGACCAGTTATGTTTTTATTCATCCATGTAGGTTCTAGTACTCAAATTTGTGTGTAATATTCACTGATGTTAACCCTAGACTACCAAGTCTTATAAAAACAGGGTTGCTAATTTTGTTAGAAATGTAGGAAAGTATATATAGTGAGTTTTTAGAACCTTAAAATGGTAGTGTTTTCATTACTTAATGCTAATGGTTTAAGTTCGGACATATTGTAATGCTCATACATTAGACATATTGTCAGGAGGGACCAGTTGCTGGAGAAGGATATCATGTTTGGTAAGGTGGAGGGTCAGAGAAAAAGAGGAAGATCCTCAGTGAGATGGATTGGCACAGTGGCAGCATCAATGGACTAAAGTGTGGCAACAAATGTGAGGTTGGCCCAGGACCGGGCAGTGTTTCATTCTGTTGTGCATAAGGTCACTATGAGCCAATACCGACTCGATGGCACCTAACAACAACAACGTTTTACTTACTCCATCGAGTTAGTAAGTTGATGATGAAAATACAGGTCTGCTAATTTTGAATTTTATTTCAGGGCCAACTCAGTGTAATTCTAATAAATTCAGAACTCAGGTGGATGGTGAAATATAACTTGGTGAATTGACACATCTGTTTTGAACCTACCCAGCAGTGCCGTGGAGGAAAGGCCTGGCAATCTGCTTCCATGAAGATTACCGCCACATAAACGCCACGGGGTGTTTCTAGTCTGTGACACCAGGGACACCATGACTCAGAATTGACTTGATGGCAGTGGGTTTAAAAAAAGGTTTTTACACTTAATTTTATGTTGGACTTGTATCTAAATTATACAATTAGAAAGTAATAAGTGTATAGCAACTGAGGTAATAAAGACGTAAACTAGCGTCAAGGTCTTTTTTTAATTTTATGAAATTTTTTAGCTTGAACCACATCAAAATTACCATATTTCTCTATTCTTACAAAAATTATTTCTCCCACAATTTTAACAGTTTACTCTTTTGCGTTTTTTCCCTCTTTTCAGACTTTATGGTGGAAATCTTTCGTTTTTTTATTTCTGTAGATTCCACTTCTTATGTTTGTCCTTGGCAGGAGCACAGCCCCAAAGGCTTTGAGAGCCTGTCTAAATCTCTTCACTCTTCACAAATGGAAGCTTGGTGGCCTGAGTCTTGTTGATGCCGTCAGCTGTTCTCACTCATTAAGCCTGAGGCCCCGGAAGCACGCTGTGGGCTCCACAGGAGAACCCGAGCTGGGCTCTGGGAGGGGCCCACCTTGCCTGTCCATAGACTCCATTTAAGGAGCCATAGCCACATCCCTCTTTTTGTGGTAAAATGATTGTGGTGATGCATTTAGACAAATGGTGTTTTGTGTCCTTAGGTCTGAGAGCTCCACAGTAACTTAGAGGAGTGTTTTTCGGATGAGAACATTGGGACCCATAAAGGCTATAGATCCATGTTTCCAACAGATGAAGCTTGAGGGCTTGCTTTGCATTTCTAGATTAGAACAACTCGGAATCATGTGTCGTTGACCAAAGAATCGCCCACCTGTTTTCCAGTAAAAGTCTCTGATGCTGTAAATAGCTTCCACGTGGTGAGGGAAGAAAGGGGCCCAGGCCAGGTGCACAGCTGAGTCTGCCTAGTGGTGGTGTGCTGGTACAACCCCCTCACAGCCAGTGGGCCCCTGACTCAGTCTGTGACGTGTGATAAGCCTTCTCCCTCAGACACCAAACTCTGAGAGCTTACAGAGGCAGGCTCAGCCCAGCTCTAAGAATTGCTGGAACACAGTCGTTTAAGCTGGATGAGTTGATCACCTGTGAAAGGTTTACTGGTTTTATATTCTTAAAACATTTATCTGTTTGAGTTCTCTTATGCTCAAGAATTAAAAGTGCTTTAGAAATTTAAATATTTGGGATTTAAATTTAAATATCAGAGTTATAAGGCCATGATCAGGATGGCAAAGCCCTTGGCTTGCCCTTGGACTTGGCAATTTGGGGATATAGTCTCCTACCATACACCTGGCATTTCAGGTATCATGAGCATATGACTACTCCTGTGCTGATGTGTGTGACCTTGGGCAGGCGGTGCTGGTTCTGATCCAAGTGTCCGTCTGTAGGGTTTCTGATGTAATTGTGAAGGCTATAAATCTTTGCAGGAACAGGAAGCCTTATCTTTCTCCCACTGATCGGCCAGTGGGCTTGGACCACCAACCTTGTGGCTCCTAGTCCAGTGCTTATCCTACAGGGCCACTGTGCTCCTTTCTTTATTTCCTGTACACACAACATAATGTGTATGGCTCCTGCCCCTTCAGGTGCTTTGAGGTGCAGGTGAGAAGGTGTGCTTGGCATGTTACTGTTGTCAGGTGTGGCCTGGCTCTCTTTCCTGGGATGTGCGCATTGGATCTCAGAGACCCAATTTTACCACTTCCTGTGTAGCCAGGTTCCTTAATCACTGTAAATTCAGGTTTCTCATTTCCATGATAGATACTTTCAATGTACACTAAGTGTTTTTCTCCTTCCTAGCAAACCACACTTTCTCCAGGACATTTATCCTTCCTATCACCAATCAGTATATTTTACCTATAATCCTATTTTTTTCATGGTCATTGATAGGAAACTGATTGATAATAAGGTATTACTGAATGAATGACAGTGGATTGATTTCTTTAACCTCTTCTTTGAGGTTTCTGGAATTCAATATTGATTATATTAACATCTGGACTCTTAAGGCTTAACTTATGGTAGAATCACAAGCTCTGCTCTTGTGAGATGGGGACTTACGAGGTAGGCAACGGGACTGACTCTTAAGGTGGTCTGTCTTGATCAGGGAGGGAATGGCACTTGTTCTAGAACATTTCAGGTTTTGTGGACCACATGGTGTCTATTGAAGCTGCTCAGCTCTGCTATTGTAGTCCTAAAGCAGTCCTGGACTATGTGTGAGCACATGGATGTGACTGCATTTACAAAAAGGTGACTGGCAAGGTGTTTCTGGGGGGCCATAATTTATCAGCTCCGAGCCTAGAGACTGTGTGGATTTCAATTGTGTGAATCATGACAGGCTATGGACAACATTGCAAAGTATGAATATTCCAGAACACTTAATTGTACTCATAAGGAATCTGTACATGGACCAAGAGGCAGTTTGAACAGAACATAGGAACACTGAATGGTTTAAAATTAACAAAGGTGTGCAACAGGGTTGTATTCTTTCACCATACTTACTCAACCTGTATGCTGAGCAAATAATACGAGAAGCTGGGTTATATTAAGAAAAACATGGCATCAGGATTGAAGGAAGACTTATTAGCAACCTGCCATGTGCAGATGATACAAACTTGCTTGCTGAAAGTGAAGAGGACTTAAAACATTTACCAATGAAGATCAAAGAGCACAGCCTTCAGTTCAGTATGGATTGCATCGCAATATCAAGAAAACAAAAATCCTTACCACTGGATGGATAAACAACATTCTTACCAACGAAGAAAAGATTGAAGTTGTCAAGGACTTCATTCTTGGTTCAATTATCAACACTCATGGAAGTAGCAGTCAAGAAATCAAGCTATGTTTTGCATTAGGCAAATTTGTTGCACAAGACCTTCTTAAAGTGTTGAAGTGCAAAGATGTCAGCTTGAGGACTAAGGTGTATCTGATCCAAGCCATGGTATTTTCAGTAACCTCAAATGCATGCAAAAACTGGACAGTGAATATGGAAGACTATAGAAGAACTGATCCTTTTGAGTTATGGTGTTGGAGGAGAATATTGAAAGTGCCATGGGCTGCCAAAAGAACCAACAGATTTGTGTTGGAAGAAGTGCATCCAGAGTACTCGGCCAAACTTTCTCTCTCATACTTTGGACATATTGTCAGGAGGGACCAGTCACTGGAGAAGGATATCAAGTTTGGTAAGGTGGAGGATCAGAGAAAAAGAGGAAGACCCTCAGCAAGATGGATTGGCAAAGTGTCAGCATCGATGGGCTGAAGCGTGACAACAATTGTGAGGTTGGCCCAGGACTGGGCACTGTTTTGTTCTGTTGTGCATAGGGTCGCTATGAGTCGGTACCAACTCGATGGCACCTAACAAGTCTAGAGACTGTCATCAACTCAGGGACTCCAAATCAGACTACCTCAGAGTCTCATAGAATTCGTTGTAAATATATATCTTATACCCCAGAAATTAGTATTTACACTCAGGGTAAAATTCCAGTTCATTTTTAAATAAAGAAGAAGAAAGTTTGTGTATCATTATTTCACTCCTGAGAATTGCCAGGGAGTCTCGCATGAATTAATTGTTAGTCATTTTCTAAAAGGGAAAGAATATTTGAAGGTGAAAATATTTTGGTTCAAAATGAAGGAACTTGTCGTCATTTTGCATTCTATGGGAATGGTTACAGAGAAATGATTTTTTGCCAGCCAGTTGAGAATCTGAACGTTGTTTCCTGTTTTCTTATGTAGTTAAACACGACTGGGACAAAATGACAGAAGCTGTACAGAACCACATCGGCTCGCTGAACTGGGGCTACCGGGTAGCTCTGCGGGAGAAAAGGGTCACCTACGAAAATGCTTATGGGCAGTTTGTTGGTCCTCATAGGATTAAGGTAATTGTGAGATAACCCGTGTAGCTTTTTTGCTAAGCTTTGGCTCAGGGTAAGGGAGAAAAGGAGATAATTATAATAAAATAAATAATAGCTACAGTAGATCCCTAGTGGCACAGTGATTTAAACACTTGGCTGCTAATCAAAAGATTGATAATTCAAACTCACCCAGTGGTTCTGGGGGAGACAAGCCAGGTGATTTGCTCCTTGAAGATTACAGCCTTGAAAACCCTATGGGACAGTTTTGCTCTGTTACATGGGGCTGCTATGAGTTGAAATTGACTGACTGCACCGAACATCGTGGTGCAGATTGGGGTGTTATAGCCACACCTTATTATGGGGCCTTCTGTTGTGGTGTGGTTAATTGGTGAGAGCTCTGCCACATTCTGGCATTGGAACCTTAAGCGGTCCATGAAGTACTGCTCAGAAACTTGCTATCTCTTAACTATATTGCCATATTTTTATGAAGATCAAATTCGAAAATGTGGTAAATAGTCTTTATTAACTGTGAAGTTAGCAATTTTGTAGGATAATATCTTATTAAAAGTTGGCATATTGGTTCCTTTGTAGGCAACTAATAATAAAGGCAAAGAAAAAATTTACTCAGCAGAGCGATTTCTCATTGCAACTGGTGAGAGGCCACGTTACTTGGGCATCCCTGGCGACAAAGAGTACTGCATCAGCAGGTAAGCAAACAAAGCCAATAGAGAAAGAAGAAACCCACTGTACGGTCTGGCATTTGCCACCCCCACCCCCGCCCCCAAACCCTGTAGTCCATTTCCTGAAACTCAGAGCTCTTTGTCAGAGTTTGTTATAATGATAGAACATTTTGAAAATTCAGTACTGTAAGCAAGAAACTAACATCAATCATCTTACCATCTGAGTTAATATTATCACTGCTGTCATGTTTATATGTAGAAATATGGTTATATTTCTATTTGTGTGCACGTGAGTGTATTTTATAAAACATATGATTTGAATGAATATACATTTCTTTTTGACAAAAAGTAAGTCTATCGCCCTGTAAGACTTCTAAGGGGGTCCTGGTGTGGTGCTGTAGGCTAAGTACTGGATTGCTAACTGCAGTGTTGGTTTAAACCTACCAACCATTCCTTGGAAACCTTATACCGGATTGCTTTGGACTTCTGGTGTGGTGCTGCAGGATAAACACTGGACCAAAAGGCCTGTTTGAACCAAAAGGTCGGTGTATCAAACTCACCAGCTAGGGTTTCCTAGGAAACCTTATACAGGGCTGCTGTGAGTTGGGAACAACTTGATGCTACTTAACAACAACAACAAGACTTGTAAAATAAATGCTAAGTGAATTAGAGTATAGCACACTGCTTAGATTGATCAAGTCTACTCTCTACTGTTAACAATGGTTAGTGTCAGTATAGGGAGTTTCCTGAATATGTGAGTCAAATTTTAGGTTTTCCAGGATGATTTCATTTTGTCTGTAAGACTCCTTTGTGGTGGTGCTATGAGATAAGCACTTGACTTCTAGGTTGGCAGTTCAAACTCACCAGCCTCTCCTCGGAAACCCTATATAGGGTCACTGTGAGTCAGAACTGACTCAGTGGCACTTAATAACAACATAAGACTCCTGGTATGGTACTGTAGGATAATCACTAGACTGAACCACAAAGTCAGCAGTTCAAACCCACCAGCTGCTCCTTGGAAACCCTATTCAGGGTTGCTATGAGTCAGATTGACTTGACAGCACTTAACAACAACAGTCACATGATAACATTGCTGACCTTGTTATTTTTTGTTGTTGTGATTTTATCTGTTGTGGCCTCCTCCAGAGGCAGACAGTTCAGATGGCAACTGACTGGCATTGCAACCCGAGATCGGCTCCCTTGTCAGATTTTTGAAATCTCATTCCTAGCAATGCTTTTATGATCTCGATCTCTTGTATACTCCTTGCTGCACTAGACGTATTTGTAAGGCTTTTATATTAGAAAAGCAAGGTGTTCCCCACCTTTCTCCCCACTCTCAGTAATTGATGTATCAGGTGAGAAATACCAGGTTTTACATCTAGGAGAGCGCTGAGTGATGCATTGGGGGTTTTGGTTTATAGCTGTATTCACATGTATGGTTTAAAACACCTTGTTGTTGTTAAGTGCTGTTGAGTAGTTCTGACTCATAACCACTCTGTATAGGGTTTCCGAGAAGCGGTTGGTGAACCACTAGCCTTGTGGTTCAAAACACCTTAGTGAAGAATTATTTCAAACAGTTCAAAATCACGTTTGACTTTGGCACATTTGATAACTTCAGTTATTAAGTAAGTAAATAATTTAAAATTGAGTTAGTTAGACTAGTGACAGCAATATCTTAAGCTACTTCAAAGGAACTGAGGGACGAGAAAGAGGGAGAGAGAGTTTATTTAAAAAAATAATTCTGTTTTACTAATGTTTTTAATCATTAAAATATCTGGTTCTTATGAAAATAAAATACCTGCTTTGTTCATTATTCACATGAACTTTTTGTTTTCTTTGTTTTTTTAATCCTATCTTTTCAGTGATGATCTTTTCTCCTTACCTTACTCCCCGGGGAAGACCCTGGTGGTTGGAGCATCCTATGTCGCTTTGGAATGTGCTGGATTTCTTGCTGGTATTGGTTTAGATGTCACTGTTATGGTACGGTCAATTCTCCTAAGAGGATTTGACCAGGACATGGCCAACAAAATTGGTGAACACATGGAAGAACATGGTGTCAAATTTATACGACAATTTGTACCAATAAAAGTAAGTGGGGATTTCCTATAAGTGTATTGATCCTGTACCCATGAGAGAGGTGGGGTGTGTGTTGGGAAGCATCCCTTCAGCAATTTAAACAAGCAGACATGCTGTAACTAAGAATTCGTGTCGGGATTGCATTGGCTAACTTGACTCTGTGGCGCTGCGGGTTACTGCACTGGATTGCAAAGTCGCTTTGAACCACAAGGTCAACAGTTCAAGCTCACCAGTTGCTCCTCGGAAACCTGATACAGAATCACTATAGGTCAGAACTGACTCAACTGCACTTAACAACAACAACATAAAGTCATTAGTCGTTTTGAGAATTTAGTAGTACATTTCCTGGACGTTCTCAGTGCTTGGTTTCCTATAGCTGTTTTCTGGGAGTAGGGCTATGCATGTTTTCATGAAGACTCTCATTAGAAACAGCAGCTGTACTCAGAGGATATGCTGCAATGGCAGAAAAGCACACCTTCACTAGAACGTCTGAGCATCCTGGGGGGTTGTGGGTCCCTGTGAGAGCCTGTGTCTGTGCACATAATAGTTTCCTTGATTTACCAGGGTGCCCCCAGCCTCTCTGAACCAGGTGAAGAACACTTTGTATTACATGGAATCCTGGTGTGGTGCTGTAGGCTAAGCAAGGTTGATTTGAGTCCCAAGGTCAGTGGTTCAGACTCACCAACCACTCCTTGTAAACCCTATATAGGGTCTCAGTGGCACTTAACAACAACTAGTTGTTAACAACAATTACCTAGTGAGTGGTGAAGGAGCTTTCTATGGGTGAGGAGATCCGGCAACACTGTTGCTGGCCTTGTGACCTTGTCTCTCAGATGCTCTTCCTTCATGAGTCCCTTGAAGGATTAGGAAGATGACCCCGTTTGTACCTGAAAACTGTAATGCTATCTAGTTTTGTAAAATGATAGATTAAATTGATTATTAATCCACAAACATGTTAATAACCCTTGACATCAGAATATTAAGTATGCATATGTGTGATACTTGGGATAAGTATTTTGCCCCAGACTGATACATCTGGAAGCTATTTTTAGAATCTTGTCAAACTAAGAGTCTGATGACCTTGCTGTATTTAAATCATACAGTTTTGAGTATTACACTACTTCTGTGGTATAATTCCTTTAGTAGGAAGTATACTCATGGGATTGAATGCTGTGCTTCTCCACAGTCCACAGGGAAACACTCATTCCATGGATTTTGTTGCGTGCCGACTTTGTGCCAAGCACAGGAACTATAGCAGAGAACCAGAGAAACACTAGCTTTTCCTTTGGAAACTTAGAGTCTGTGGCGAAGTCAAACAGCAACCAAGTTAAGTAGTAAGTGAGAGTGACTGTCTCCTTTGCTATGAAGCAGGAGTCGAGGGGACTAGGACAGTACATAGCGAGCATACTTTCTGTAATCTGAGCTTTAGGGAGGGTGTCTAGGAGGCTTCTTGACAGTTGTGTCAAAGTACACATAGAGGAGTTATGAGACAGGAGAGGACAGCATTTTTTGGATAGAGAACATAACATACAGAAAGACGCTGTGGGGAGGAAAATTCTTCTAGATACTGAAAGGGCCTGGCTGGAATACAAAACTAAGCAAGGCAGGAAGGAAGGAATCAAGGTAAGACGATGCCCTTAACTAACCATTTCGACATAAATCTAAGCCATGTTGTTAAGTGCCGTCGAGTCGGTTCCAACTAATAGTGTGATCTTGTGGTTTGAAGTCCAGTGCTGATCCTACAGCACCACACCTGTGGTCCAAAATCTAAGTGTTCCACAAATTATAATTTAAAAAGATTACCCCCAAAACCCACTGCCCTCAATTCGATTCCAACTCATAGCAACCCTACATAGAGTTTCCAAGGCTGTAAATCTTTATAGGAGAAGATAGCCTCATCTTTCTCCTGTGGAGCAGCTAGTGAGCTTGAACTGCTGACCTTGCAGTTAGCAGTCCAATGCTTATCCTACAGTGCCACCAGGGCAGAAAAACTATTTCCAGTATGTTCAAAAGTGGTCGATTACCAAGGTGCTTCAAAGAGTTTGTGGAAAAATAGAGTTAAAAGGTAATGAAATTGTTCCACTTTTTGAAGCTCCTTTGTCTAAAAAGGAAGAGAATTCTAAAGGATATTTTTAGTGTTTATTGGTACTGCAAATGAAATGAGACCTGAGAGTTTTCCTACCCAGAGTGTTGTATTTTAAAGGTAGAATCGAAATTGCAGGTGATTTTTATGGGTTTTCCCTAGTAGAGGTCTTCTACAAACTCTTGATTTGGTCACCCTTCAACAGCAAAGGTAATTGAGTATACATAGAGAGATTCGAGTGATAGGATTTCTAAGCCATTGTTACTCAGCTTGGCATCTCTGGGTAGAAGGTTAGTAGGTTCAGTCTCATTTGTCATCACACAAATAAATACCAGGGTCATGTTTCCCAACATCCTTAACAATCGAAGTCTACGCTGGATATGATAAACACATGTCTCCTTGATTACTTCAGTCTTTGGGTCTTTAGATCTGCCAGTTGTTACTTGTATCGTTGTTGACTTAACTCTAATAAACTATTCTTGGTTGATAAAGAAAACTGAATTTGTAAATTGTAAAGTGTAAAGAGACCCTCTGAATTCATAGTGTTTTTCTGACTTCTTTCCCACTTTTCTCTGGATTTTATTGTTTGACGACTATTTGAAGCAAAATGAGAAAGAAGGGAATTAAAAAAAAAAATCATGTATCATCCTAACGATGCTGAGGTGAGAGAGATGGACCACAAAAAAAATGGGTCATGTTGTATGTTTTCATTTTGAGTTCACTAGGAAGAGAGGACACAGCTGTCTCTCTTAACTACCATAGCTTTATTTCAGAGTAAAACTTTGTCACTTTTGTAGATTGAGCAGATTGAAGCCGGGACACCAGGCCGACTCAAGGTGGTAGCCCAGTCCACCACCAGTCAGGAAACCATTGAAGGAGAGTATAATACGGTAAGGAATGGATCTGTTAGTTCTTATTAGGAAGTAACTATTACTTATAATATTATACTTTGTTTTGATACAGAGATGGCTTCGGATTTTTCCACCATAACTTAAATGATTGTTTGCCAAATGGCTATAAAAAAAGGTTACAGTTTTTAAATGAGCTGGAATTCCTTTGTCCCATGCTCTTCCCTTTAACCTCCCCAGCCCACCACTTTAAAAAAATCACTTAATTCAGTCATAGTGTATGCTATCTTTGTGTCTGAATTGTTGTTGTTAAGTACAGTGGAATCAGTTCTGACTCATAGTGACACTGTACAGGGTTTCCAAGGCTGTAATCTTTACCGGAGCAGAAAGCCTTATCTTTCTCCCACGCAACGGCTAGTGGTTTAGAACTGCCATCCTTGAGGTTAGCAGCCCGATTAGGTTTATTAAGGAACAAACTCCCCTTTTATTTAAAGGAATAGGATTTCTGCTAGATTATAGGAGTTTAAAGTTTATTACACTCTTATATTTTTTTCTTAATGAAATATATCTTTCCAGATCTGGAGAATGAAATTAGATTGGCTTTAATAAGCAGAAAGAATAATAACTAGTTCATACAAAGCCTTTTTGTCAAGTTTTGTTAAGTGCTGTTGAGTCGTTTACGACTGTATAAGGTTTCCAGGGCTTTAAATCTTTGTGGGAGCACAAAGCCTCATATTTGTCAATTTTTGTTAATAGTTAACTATTAATACATTTTCAGGTATTGTTGGCAATAGGAAGAGATGCTTGCACAAGAAAAATTGGTTTAGAAACTGTGGGTGTGAAGATAAATGAGAAGTAAGTAAAATATATATAGAATATTATTTATTTTGTTTGTGACATCGATCAGTACTAGAGTTCTAGATAGTTAGTTAATTTTCACCATAGTTAGAAAGTTCTCTTTTTAACTTAGAAAACTCTTCTTTCAGTGCTATTTCAGTTAGGATTTCCTATTTGAAATTTTTTTGGCTTTGTTTTTTCTTTTCAAAATCTAAATAAGAAATGTATTGGTCTGCGTGTTGTTTCTTTAATGTATGTACAGCTCCACAGTACCTCCTTTTTTTTTTATATAAAACACGTCCACATAAGCAATGTGCATATAGTGCACACAGGAAACTAAGCTATGAGCTTGAAAACCCATATAACATGCACATTATTTGCATAAAAACACAGTATTCTCAGAAGTGCTTTGAGCTTCATTAAGTCTGAATGAAGACTTCATTGGATCTGAACCGGATTTAGAGCCTGCTAAATTTTAGGATCACAAGGGTGCTAGTTCCAAGTATCAAACATTGTTACTCTCTTAGCATTGTAAAGTTAAATTTCCTCAAACTGTACCACTGCATCAGGTACCTGAGAATCTGGTGTCTGCATATGGGCACAGTGTGGAGCGTGTCCCAGAATCGCCATTTTTACATCCACAAACGGCAAGTGTTGTAAATGGCAAGATGCCTTGGAAAGTGCAAATGATTGTTTTCTTCCAGGAATAACATTTATTCAAGAGAACAAAATTCTTAAAATTAACATGAGAAACTCTACATTGTTTAGTTTCACTGCGGTGAGCAGATACAGGAGTTGGGAAAGTCGATAATAAGATTTAGCAGACCGGTATTTGATCTTCTTAGTAACCTGCTTGTCTGTTTCCAGTTGGGTCCAAGGTGTAGATTGAGTGTAATGTTAATTGCAACCGTTCATGCACTCACTGTTGTACTATGTCTTATGCACTTTTTCTTTGCATCCTGAACAGCCCTAAACTAAGGTAGATGATATGCCCCTTCCTATTCCCATGATTCCATTTATCAATGGGAAACTCAGGCATAGAGAGACATAATAAATAACTAGAAAACCTGGTCATTACACTTTAGCATCTTTATTATGAATCATTAGGTTCGAATTCTCCTGCTCTAGGATCTCTTTTACTTTTCACATCTTTGGTTTTTTCCTAATAGTGGCTAGAGTTGTCACTAAGCAGTTCTTGTTTATTTTAAATACATTAGGACATGGTCCTCAGCTAAAGTTACAGTTTGGGACTTCCTTGGGAGAAAGAGTACATTGTTGTACTACTTTAATAACGGTAACTGATGGTTTTAGCTGAATGAATTTGCAGGACTGGAAAAATCCCGGTCACTGACGAGGAACAGACCAATGTGCCTTACATCTATGCCATCGGGGACATACTGGAGGGGAAGCTGGAGCTCACCCCAGTAGCAATCCAGGCAGGGAGACTGCTGGCTCAGAGGCTTTATGCTGGCTCCAAGGTCAAGGTGAGTGCTGGGGCTGGTGTCCACTGAAATACTGTTATTACTAAATTTTCAGTTCTTGATTTAAAGGGCACATGGTGAGTTTTCCAGGTCTTGAATAATTGAGCTGTTTTGGTGATGGTGATGGCATTGGCACCCTAAATGACAACAAAAAACAGCCACTGTCTAGTCAACTCCAACTCATGGGGATATATTACACCCTTGTTGTTGCAGCTAAGTGTCGTCGAATTGGTTCCAACCCATAGCGATCCTGTATCAAATTTCCAAGGAGAGGCTGGTGAGCTTGAACGGCTGACCTTGTGGCTTAAACTGACATTGTAGTCCAGCACATTAATCCACAGTGCCACACCAGGACTCCATGTTACACCCTGTTGTTGTTGTTGTTAGGTGTCATCAAGTCAGTACCGACTCATAGCGACCTTATGCACAGCAGAAC